TGCAACCTGCAAATTCACTATCCAAATAATCGATTAGGTCAAAACTTGAACCTTTAGGGTACCAATGACACATGTTAGGAGTTCCCTTAAGATATCTGAATATGCGTTTAACAGCAATCAGATGGGATTCCTTTGGTTCAGCTTGATATCTTCCACAAAGACAAGTAGAGTACATGATATCGGGTCGGCTAGCTGTTAGATACAGTAGGGAGCTGATCATTCCTCTATAAATAGTAATGTTTTTAGGCTTTCCATTTAGATCCTTGTTGAGAGAGAGTGGAAGAGCCATTGGAGTTTTCATAGATGAACTGTTGGATAGATCAAACTTCTTCAGCATGTCACAAACATACTTACTTTGTTTGATAAAGACACCTTTATCTGATTGTTTGATCTGAAGCCCTAAAAAGAAAGTTAGTTCTCCCATCATGCTCATCTGATATTCTTTCTTCATGTGGTCAGCGAACCGAAAACATAAAGAGGGATTAGTGGAACCAAATATAATATCATCGACATAAATTTAGACTAGAATGATGTGACCCTTAACTTTCCTACGAAATAAGGTCTGGTCAATCTTTCTACGAGAGAATTTCTCATAGATGAGAAATGAGGAAAGGGTATGATACCAGGCAGGAAGAGCCTGTTTTAACCCATAAAGAGCTTTATCTAACCTATTGACATGGTTTGGATACTTGGGGTCAAGGAACCCTGGAGGTTGTTCAACATAAACTTCCTCTTGAAGTTTCCCATTTAGAAAAGCGCTCTTTACATTCATTTGGTAGACTTTGAAGTCTCTATGGGCAGTAAAGTCTAGAAAGAGTTGAATTGCTTCGAGTCTAGCCACTGGTGCGAAGGTCTCATCATAGTCGATCCTTCTTCTTGTCTATAACCCTGAGCAACAAGTTTCATCTCTACCCTAGATATCACTTAGAATATCTAAGGACTTGGCTAAATGGTGATCAATTTGAAGAGAAGATGGATCGCAAGATTCGAAAGGAAGTACTTAGATGCAAGATGCTCGGAGAAAATGTCCCTGACTACATCAACTTCAATAATCTAGATTAGATGTCCTTTTAGTCTTGTAATATCTTGTATTTCTTATCTTTTCTTTTAGTGTATAACCTTTATGTTTTAAGTCCACCAATACTGATTGTAATAACTTGTAATATTTTCCCTTGAAAGATATTTCAATAAAATGATCAATTCACTGAAAAAGATTCTTGAAAAGAATAAATGAGATATGTACTTAAAAGTTCTATTTTATTCTTACATTTGCTGACACCTTTCTAGTCAGTGAATATGCTTTCAGTATTTAGTTATTAATATTGTGTAAGTTTATTCTTTCCTTGAAATCTTTTACAATTAAATTAAACTTCCATAGTAAACTGTATCACTGAAAAAGATTCCAAAACAGTTAAAAGGGACAAATATTTTACTAATACCTTTTCCTAACTTATGTAACTTATGCACTTTTCGTTATGTTGCTTTGTCATCGTCAAATAAGGGGAAATTGTTGATGCGCTCTCTCAGTAATTTGATGATGATCCCTTTTATCTATCAAAGTGTACTATCTCTGGATTCAGTTTCAGTGATTGCTGAACATGTATTGTAATTCCTTCAAAGACAAGTATCCTTCAGTAAGACAAAACTTACACGATAGATTCTTCAGCGATATCGAAGATAGAAGTTGAAGATAGAGACCAACAAGTTTGTGATCTGAAGCGATTTTTAGTGATAACAAACTCGTCTACACAAGTGTGAAATCTAGGCAAGATTTAGCGAACACTGATGAGACCTTTAGCGTCATTCCAGTGTTCATCAATCAAATGAATCTTGTTGAACAAGATAGTTTTTGTCTTGTCCTTCTATACACAAAGGACAAATATACACCTTTCAAAGTAAAGTACTGCACGGACCCACTTCATTGTCTCCAAGCGTGCTTATCTACTTTATGAAAAAGAAGACTGTTCATATACGGCCAAAAGACTGTTTACTGCAACAAAGGACAAGCTTTCGTCTTAAAGCTTGCCACATGCTTTGTACATTTTGAATTGCATTTAATGCAATGGGTATAAATAGCTTAACAGTTCTCTCTTCTAAGTTACATCTCTCTATCACATCAAGCATCCTTGCTTTGAAGATCTTACCCAAGAAGATACTCCTCCCTCTACTCTCTATCTAACAGAAAGACTTCCACTTTAACAAGTGGAGAGCACATTACTTCTTAACCTATTTCTTGTAACAAGTCTTTTTTTCTTGCTAGCTGTAATTTTGTGTGTATCTTTGATGTTTAGATAGGTTATGTATCATACCTCTTCCGCAAACAATCTATAAAAATTTGTATTGATCTTCTTTATCAATATAAGTTTTTTTAAAGTGAAAAGAGCTGTTGTGTTTGTATTCATCCCTTTCCTTCTACAAATTGCTACCTATAAACTCTTGTAGATCCGGTTGTGACCAACATTGTGCAAACAACATTGTATTTCCACATGCACTTTGTCAAAATATAAGACAACACATATCTGATGTTTCTCATGGACTTTAATCTTTTTATACTTCTCATTTGATTATACTTCTACATCTAAATATACAAACCCCTCTCTCTGTCTCTCTCTCTCTCTAACACACACACACACACACATATATATATATATATATACAATAATAGAGCAATAAAAATAAACAAAGTAATAAATTTTTGTATTTTCTGTTGTTTTGTTTCATATGATTTATGACATTATCATATAAATTTTAGCTATTGTTTATCAACTACAAAATTGGAAGGGGAATAGGTGGATCACACTTGCTAACCCCTTTGTAATTCTATTATTATATATCCCCACGTCCAAATATGAAATAAATTAACATATTTTTCTAAGAGAATTAAAAAAAACCGTAGGACTGGTTTGAGTTGGTTTGGTTTATAGAATTTAATAAGATTTGAGGGAACTTAGAATTGAATTCATTTCCAATCCTATATATGGTCTTAAGAAAAGCTTGAAATTGAACTCGCACATAAATTGGATTTAGAAAGTCCATAAGGATAGTTAGTATTTATTTGTAAGAATGTCTTAAAAACGGTTTTAAAAATACTTTTTATGTAATAATTAATTACTAAAAGGAAACTTAATTATTCTTGTAATTATTTATAAAATATCTATAATCCTACAAATTAAACACATACAAAAATCAAATTATTCCACAAAATCTAAGGGGCCGTTTACTAAACGCTTACTTGGAAAGTGCTTACTGAATAAATTTTCTTATCGGATGAACATTATAAGGGCCAAGAATCTTACCGGGTAAGAGCGATGAGAATAATGGAGAGTCTTACCTGGTAAGTGAAGATTACGACTCTTACCCAGGTAAGCCCTTACCCGCTAATTGTTGCATTCAATACGTTTTGATGTACTAAAATCTTACACATCAAAATTGTAGTGTTGACTCCGATAAATAAGCATTTACTGGGTAAGCATTTAAGTAAACAACTCCTAAATCTCTTAAGAATGTTTCGTTAGTTGAATCAAATGAAACCGTAAGTTATTTACCTACCTTTCTTTTAATTTTAATGTTTCTTGATCCAATAAAAACCTCTTTGTTCCGTGTGAGAGGTTGTTATTTATATCTCATTTTTTTTGCCTTTAAATCAAATCGATGATGCTCTGAAAAGGCTCATACCCATTCATGGGCTAACAGTAATTAATTTGCTTGATGAATTTTTTTGTTAAACAACTTACCCAATTTATTTTTGCCAAAATGGTACATTGCAATATTCCACTAGTGTCTAGTGATGATGGCCACTCATGTCTCATGCGTCTACTCTCTTTCCATATATCTATACTACATTATAAAGGAGATTTCTTAAATACAATTTTAAATGCATAAGGTACTATTTTTTAATGCATAAAGTCTTAAAGTCTTAAAAACAAATCCTTATGCATAAAGTACTACAAGATTATGCATAAAGTCTTAAAATTATTGAATCCATACTCCCCGGCTCCCAAAGACGTCGATTCCTTTCTCCCAGGCAACAATTCCTTCTCCAAGGCATCGATTCCTTCTCCATTCCTTTCTCCCAGGCATCAATTCCTTCTCCAAGGCAGCGAGCGATTCCTTCTCCCAAGGCAGCGATTCACGTTCTTCATCACTTTATCAAGGTTAGTTCTCTATTTGGTCTATCAATCTCTACTTCTCTATTCTCAGTCAATCATCCACTTACTTGAATCGCTTCTCTTCTGAAATCGACTGGAATCGCACCATTTTAGGCAGCGATTCACTTTGTTTTATCGGTCTCTACTCCTCTCTCAATCTCTACTTCTCTACTCTCTATCAATCCGGAAATTGTCTTCCCAAGAGGTCGCTCCCGTCGTACGCCCCAAGGCCCAAGACGACAATTTAATCTTCACTAAGACATCGATTCAATCTCCAAGGTGAGATTCATCGTTCAAAACCATAATGTTATACGTTTGGGGCTCCACTCGATTCTTGCTTCCATCTCCTCTCCTGATTCGATTCTCGATAGCTTCTCATACGGTTAGGGTTTCACATGATCTTCTCCCAATTTGAGGTTAGTTCTTGTATTCTTTGATGTTCCCTACAATGATTTTTATGCATCTGCAGCTTACAAGCTTCCAATGGAGAGTAAACCCAAGGCTTTTTACAGTTGACATAGCCATATGAAAGCCGAATAGTTTGTTGTATATGATAGGTAATGTTCTTTAAAAAAATCATGACAAGCATCTAATTTTCTTTTCATGCAGTGGTAGTGAGTTTGAAGAGATTGATGCCATTGGAGGAAGCCGTAATCCAAAGGATCAACAGAACATGACGATGATTTGAATCAGTTGCTTGTTAAATTGGATGGCTTTAAACAAAATGAAGGAATTATTGTTATTACGACAACCAACATCTCGCAATTTTGCTTATAATTTCTTCATTTTTTTGAAATTTGTAATCTTCTTCATATGGGTGTTGCAGCAGGTTCACAGTTTCATCTTCTTGTTGTTGATGATAGCATCATTAATAGAAAACTGATTGAATGATTGCTCAAAACCTCATCTTTTCAAGGTAATTTAACACTTTCATGTTCTACCCTTTTTGATTCAAATGCTTATGAGTTCAAGATTTCAATATTTTGTGTTCCATTTATGTGTTTGCAGTTACAACTGTGGATTTTGGAAGTAAAGCTTTAGAAATTCTTGAGGATTACATGAAGACATGAACTCTAATCAACCCTCTGTGTCTCCAAATATTAACCAGGTATTCAATCTTGACGATTTTGATTCCATTTTTATGTGTGATCGAATAATTGCTCATGAAAATCTTTATCGAATTTTATGCAGGAAGTTGAAGTGAATCTAATAATCATAGATTATTCTATGTCTGGAATGACAGGCTATGATTTGCTCACGAAAGTTAAGGTATGATACAATCCAATAATCATAGATAGTTATATTACTCGGTTTCAAATTGAAACCGAATCACAAGACTTTGAAAACCGAACCAAACTGAGCTTTTAAATTGATTTCAGTTTGGTTCAGTTACATTGCTTAAATACACAGCAGGTTGTACAAAGAGTTCAGCACTAAGTACATAAAACTGCTCACAACCCGTTCAATCAATATCAAGTAAATATAGTAACAATTGTTCAAACTCACACTTCCTTTATTAAAAAATTATAGAAAGCCATATTGATTTCTCAATAGATCTAAGTAAATCCATATGATAAAAATGAACACCTATATGAATTCACGCAAAGGCAACACAACTAAAATGGCACCATTTTGTTCATGTATAAAAGCTTTGTATCATTTTAACAACACAACTACTTACAAGTTTTGTCCTCAGATTCTTTATGTCAAGCTCCATAGTGCTACACATGTATATTGCAAAATGTGTTAATCTCAAAAGAAATACATAAGTGCTTTCTAGATTCCCAGGTGCACAGGTGCTTTTGGTCTATTAAAAAAATGCACATTTGCTTTTGGTCAATACATAACATTTTCTATTGGTCTACACAAAAAGATGCATGGGTGGTTTTGGTCTCCAAAACAGTTACCCCAGCTTTCCTGTTTTCTTGCTTTCTTGATTCAAATCTTGGCTTCATGGTTTAAGGCAACATCAAGAGTTTTGGTCATCAAGTTTCTTCAATCCTTTGCTTTTCATAGTGTGTGTGTCTCTCTCTCTCTCTCTATCTGTATAGACACTCGTCTACAACACTGTTATATATATATATATATATATGGGACCCGTTACAGTCCTAAACTTATTGTTTTAAGATTCTCTTGGCTAAATCTAATGTTGCTGGTTCTGTAGCATTTTTGAATGCAAGATTGTTCTTTCTTCTTCTTCTTTCTTCTTGTAAGCTTTTGCAGTCCTAAACTTTCGATTTAGATTCTTCTTCTTTCTTCTTGTATGCTTTTGCGGTCCTAAACTTTAGATTTAGATTCTTTTTCTTCTTAGTCTTACCCGGTAAGTGGGAGCAACAACTCTTACCATGGTATTGTGCATTTTTAAAATGGGATAAAGCATATATGTGAATTAGCTTTATTGGTTTTGTTTGGTTTTTTATTAATCTCTATGGATTTCAACTTTTTGTTATTGTAGATAATGTCAATTGGCAGCGAATGATATGAGACAAGACAATGACATTGGACGTACAGAACATGTCAGAGAACAAGGCAATGACACTGTTGGTGCATGAAGGACTAATTGTAGGTTTGGTATATTTAAAAGTTACGGGTTTGGTTGCATCTACTAGCAATGATAAGATAATGGCATTTGGTTTGATGTAGTTTGTGTTAATGGTTGTTTTGTATGTTGTTCAATTTTTATCTATTCTAGATAACTGTTGCGGATGTTGTTTTTTGCTTTTATTGGAAGTTGGTTGGTTTGGCCAAAGTCCATTGGTGATATCTTTTGGTAACTAGAAACCCACAATAATCCATTTATTTCAATTTGGAAATGCTTAAATTGAGGTTTGGTTTAATCGAGTTTTATGTTATTCATTTACATCCCTATTCGGAGCTTTTAAAATCATATCATTCTCTTTCCGGTAGTTAGCTTAATTTTATAGTCGTTTATAATAATTTTACTTCCTATAACATTGTCTGGGTATCATTTTAGCTACTTGATTTGTTTGCTACTTGTGAAATTATTGTCGGAATATAATGATTTGCTAATTGAGTTTTGTTTGTGGTTTCTTTGTGATGTTGGACAATTGGACCGTTATAGTATCTGATAGAGTTTGTACCGAGTGTTGAATATACATAAGGTATTATAACACCAGGTAACAATACTAAAAGTAAATTATGATCCTAATTTTCATGTCTCTAACTGTTTATAATTGCTAGCTTTTGTTATATGAGTCTGCTATTTGCATTTTTTCCAAAAGAAAACTTCTCATGTACCGGTTAGCTAATGTATTTCAATGACAAATGGATGTCAACGAAATGGATTTGACTGATTGGTTGTGCAAGTATTGGTAGCTATTGTGTTTCACAGGCAGTGATCGTTTCCTGTTGCATCGCATGGGTATACAACAAGAAGTTAATAAATCAAACAAAACAATTAATACTTCGTATGAGAATTAAGATTGAATGACAAAACGAACTATTTACAAATCAAATTAAAAATTCGACTCAAGTTGACAAACCAATGAAACAATTCATGTATTATTCGATGAACATTGAGTTTGAAATTAAATTTTAGTACAACTTTGCAAAGAAATTATATGTATGTACTTACCCCTTTAGTTGTTTTCAACTCATAAACATTAATAGACGATCTTATATTGGTGCTCGGTGTTTTAAAGTTTGGATAACTAATTGACTTGAGACAAGTTCTGTTTGTTAACATACCGGTCATAAAAGGTTTTTTGCCAAAAATATGTCTGTTCGTTCAAAGTAACATATTTATGTTCAGACTGAAAGGAAAAACGTTTCCCATTTGGCTTGGTCTTACTATGACAATCATGTGTTTATCTATTGTAATCGTCAATCGCTATTCTCACTTACATAAAACTTATTCACCGCCGCATTGCGCGGGTACACAACTAGTATACATGTAAGGACGAATTTGGTTTCGTTCACAAACGAATCAATTTGCAATTGAACTTTTTTTTCTCTCTTACTCTCTTTATGATATATATAGGGGAATTCAAGAGAGAATTTGGTAATTTGTGATAATCGTGAGATTCAATCTCAACCACAAATCATATTAAAAATTAGGAAATTAATAATTATGTTAATTTTGACTTAAAGTTTTAATTAAAGAACATTTTAGCTATTTTAGAAATATTATATATATATATATATATATATATATATATAATCTCTCCCACGAATCTTATCCTGGCTAACACAACGTAAACACAAAATACACAATATGATACCTAAAAAACATCGCCAATGTTAAAAAAATACATACAAACAATCATCACCTTGATACCCAAGATATATACAATATGCACAATATGATATTCATTGTATATACATTGTGATACCCACTGTAATACTCATTAATTGCTTACAACATGTTCACAACACTAACTTTGTGATACCCATTGTATACATATTGATACGTATTGTGATGCCCAATTGTTTACAAGGTGTTCGCAACATCAAATGTTAATATTGGTAATACAAAATGAGAATATATATATATATATATATATAGATGAAAGATCATGTGAGAATAAGAATTAAGATGAAAAGTGTAAGAAAGAATCTAGACCCTTGATCACTTTTAGTCTCACCCAACCCATGAATTGCGCTTATCACAAAAATTGATCTAGTACATCTTGGTGCACCTCATTAGTGTTGATATTCAATTTGGATTCAGACATGGATGGAGATCCCTTCATATCATTGTCACTATAACTTTTATTCAAACCAGAACCCAACCCATCCCTATATATATATATGTATATATGAATGAATAACATTTTTGGTCCCTCGTCCATGGCTGTTTTTTGGTATTCATCCCTAAAATTCATAAAGTACAATGTTGGTCCATTTTTTTTGTGTTGGATAGCCTAATATAGTCCCTCCCGTTAATGTCGTGAGAAATGTTTCCGTTAGATGTTCCATGTTCCTCTCACTTGAGGAGCATTTTAGTCTTTCTAACTTTTCTTCTTTCTCGAGAACATTACCAGTTACCCACCATTCCCCACCACCAGCCATTAAACATTAAATATTCAAACCTAAAATTTAAATCAGATTCAAACCCAAAACAATTGGACATTCTACAAAAACATTCAACTCCAAATTGAACTCAAACTTTAAAAAATTTAAACATCCATACAAAACAATCAAATCCAAATCAAATTTAAACCAAAAAAATATTCATACAAAAAGATTCAATCGTAAATCAGATTTATAAACAAAAACTTAAATCAAAACCTCAAATCTAAACACTAAGAAAAAATCCCCTCAAATTAAAACAACCCTAAGTAAATGAACATAAGAATCTTTGTAGGTTGTTATTTTGTCTTCTTAATCTTTGGGTTGTAAACGCTATACTATTTCCCCTTCTTGGGTGATTATATATTCATAGGGTTCATTTATGTATCGAATTTTGGTTTAAGTTTACTCCTATTTTTAGAGGTGTTACATTTTATCTTTATGTTTTAAAGTAGAATAAGAAAATGGGAAAACTTGATGATTTTTTCCCTTCATGTGAAAGGCACATGATAGAGTTAACGGAGCCCTCTCTAATGGTGTTAGTGGAATGGACTACATTGGGCTATGAAACACATAAAATGGACCTTCAATGTACTTCATGGATAGTAGGGATGAAAACTAAAAAAAATCTATAAAGGAGCGACCAAAAATGTAATCTACACACTAAATCATGTGTAAAATCATATGTGATTCACGTGGGCCACGTTGCCTGCACAGGTTAATATTGACTGTTAATATAAAATCACATGTGCTTTTACACATGATTTGACCATTTTCGTGTTCTTGTTCGTCCTCTATCTCAATGATTTGATGATGATCATTTTTATCTTACAAAGTGTACTATCTCTTTATTTTGCTTCAACGACCATCACTGAGTCTGTTTAGTGATCACTGAACAAATATTGTAATTCTCAGAGAGACAAGTATTCTTCAAGAAGACAAAACTCACACCACAAAATCTTTAGTGATATCGAAGAGAAAGCTGAAGACAGAGATAAGCAAATTCATGATCTGATGCGGTTTTCAATGATAACAATTCTGTCTACACAAGTATGAAATCTACTCAAGATTCAGTGAACACTGAAGAAACCTCAATATTATTCCAGTGCCAACGATCAAACGAATCTTGTTGAACAAGATTATTTTTTGTCGTGTTCTTCTATACACAAAGGACAAACCCATACCTCTCAAAGTAAAGTACCTGTACGGAGTCACTCTATTGTCTC